AGGTGCATTAGAATGAGTAATAAATGCCAGAGAACATTGTTACAGAAGGGTGGTTTTGTTACGTTTTTAATTGAGGGGTTATTTCAAATATATTTGTCCATGTACTTTTAAGTACATATTTTTTAAAAAATATAGCCACGTCATCGCAAATGTTTCCATTTTGGGAGAATCTGTATACAAATTTGTAATACGTAGGCCTAATTGGCACATGGTTGACTTTCAGCAAAACAACAATTCTCGGAACTCTTTCCACGCATAGGATTTAACTAAGCTTCTTAGACTTTCGACAAAAGTATATTATAATATTTGTGGATTTATTTTATTCACCTCCAATTCTCAATTATGATATGATTTTAAATATTTTGCATGCAGTTAGTTGTTTTTACCAAAATCGAAAGAAATTATTTTATATTCAAACATTTAGTAACAATGTCGGATGGCAAATAAAAATTAGTTTATCAAACTAGAGACCAAAGTTGTGCACATTATCCTTTATTCAACAAACATCGATCCACATTGTTTTAAGAAACTTGTAGGACACAATCATGACAATGGAGACTCTGTAGAATGATGTTTTCCGTTCGTGCGCAAATTATGGGCACGGAACTTTTGTGGCAGCCAATTTGACTTGTCTGCAGACGACGATGTTCTTGGTGCTTGTTGACATTCGATATTGTTCAAATTATTTTTCCATTTAGTTTATTAGGCCTAGTCATCCTTACAATATTTAAGTCTATTACTGTATAGGATTTAGTTTATGCTAGCTTGAGTTACTCCAGCTCTAATGCCTATCGCGATAGGCATTAGAGCTGGAGTAACTCAAGCTAAGTTTATGCAAGAAAAAAATCGGTCAAAGTACTAAGTGCGCGAAAAATGGTCACACGAGGATACGGATTAGCTTGGACCCTACTTGACCATGTCCGAATGTTAAAAAGACAATAAGTTGGGTCCAACATGTCCAAGTTACTCGGACAAGGTCAACATTGGTCAAGTGGCCCATTGGTTGAAATGTTTACGGTTTGTAACCTTTGGTACAACTATAGAATGCAGGGCCACTTTACTCTACATCCGCGCCTCCGTACGGCTGCGTGGGGGTGTGGAGCCGCAGTCGACCTACCTCCGAGAATTGCGCCCTCTATCGGCGCACGTCTCTGCGACTCCGCAACGACTGCGTGGAGGCGTAGAGCCGCAGTCAACCTACCTCCTAGAATTGCGCCCTCTATCGGCACGCGTCTCTGCGACTCTGCGACTCCGCGCCTCCGCTCCTCCGCGCCTCTAGTGTCCTGTCGCCCTCCCTCCTTCCTTTGCGAGGAAATTAAAAATGGATATGGATGCTTCGTTCTCAAAAAAAATACCACCGAGAATTGCGCCCTCTATCGGCGCGCGTCTCTGCGACTCCGCGACTCCAGTGTCCCGTCGCCCTCCCTCCTTCCTTTGCGAGGAAATTAAAAATGGATATGGATGCTTCGTTCTCCAAAAAATACCGCCGAGAATTGCGCCCTCTATCGGCGCGCGTCTCTGCGACACATTTACAAGCGCGCCCTCCCTTCCGATCCTTGATGAGCATGATGAGAAGACAAGTGCATTCGCTGCATGTACTTAGCACTTTTTGCAGGTTTGCATATTATTATATTGTAGCCTATTACATAGTATTACGTACTCCTATCCTCACATTGCCGGCCTCGATGCACGCCTCCAAGCAGAAAAAAAAAACTTGCTCCGGCGTGGCCCTACATTCTATAGTTGCTCCTAACCTTTTTTTAGTTTTAGTTTTACACAGCAGGAGGGTTCAAGAGGTCTATGTAGAGTCCTACTTAATACTCAGACTAATCAGACTAATTCACTAAATAAGTCCAACTCAGACACAAAAAGAGCATGACTAGGGCCTACATTAGTCCGAGTAACTTGGACCCAACTTATTGCCTTTTTAACATTCGGACATGGTCTGGCGATCGCCAGAACACGTCCGAATGTAAAAAAAAAGGCGATAAGTTACTCGGACTACTACTTTTTGTAGGCATAGCACTCTGGCCCAACATACAGTCTGCCGTACGCACGTATGATGTAGTGCACTTTTCAAGATCGTCTCATTTTAGAGTCAATAAACCAATCAAAATTATTTTTCTTGTGTGAATAGTGTGTCATTTCTTTTATATTTGTATATTTTTAAAGTACATAATAAATAAAATACAGCGACAATAATCGAACTTATAAAATACACCATCATTACGCGCTACAGTCACGCAGGATCTTTTATTCCCTTCGCGCGCAGCTCAGAAACGAAGCGCAAAACCCCCTATTTTGAAATGGTCTTGGACAGGCCTTCCAATCCTTGTTTGAGCATGAAACTTCAAAATATTGTAGACATGACCTTTGACATTATCATCACACTTCTTTCTTGGAGCTTACCCGTCAGTTTCGAAAGTTTGAAGCGTAGATTTTGTGCAAAGAAAACCCTCCCGTAAAAATTGAAGTTTCCACAATTTCGAGAAGAAAAAAGCACCGCACTATTGTGGAGAAGCTGCTCTATCACCTCATCCTTACAGATCAGCAAATACTTGAGTGGAAGTCCTGTCCATTTGAGAAAAAATACAGCGAGTTTTTCCTTGCGTCAGTTTTGAAAATGACAAGAAGCGTGACCAAACGGTGTGTATACGGATGACCAAACGGTGTGTATACGGATGACTGAAAAAGGCCAAACAAATCCGTGAAAAACACGGTCAGAGTTGAGCCGTGTGAAGGGAGGCATGAAGCATGAATGTAGCAGCCTTGGTTGAGCATGTACGTACGTGCGCGCACCGCGTTGTGTGTGGGCGCTCTTATCTACGACTGTTTCATGCGAGGGGCGTTCTGTTTGTGCGGTATGCGGTTGTGTTGGATTGATTCAGTTTCGTGAAATCTGCGCAGCAAACAGCACATGCATTTTGGCTAAACTGTGGCTGTTGTTATTTGCGCACTTACTCCTTGGACTAACTGAATGGATTTTATGACAGTATTTTTTTGTAATGTATTGTGAAATAAACAATTTACCCACGGTTGAGAAATCATGTAAACAAATATTTGTGTTATTTTTATTTCCTGAAACTGTGATTTATATAACAAAATGTAAAGAGGCAATACACAAGATAGAACAAGCAAGGTTCTGTTTTGGATTAGGTTTGTAATTTTAATGAGCCGAACTGATTTTAGTTACTACATACATATTTACATAACGAAGACATCATTAAATATATTAAACAATTTGCTCAATGATGTAAATCACTTCTTTTCTCTAAATAATTGTTCCAATATTCAAACAGATAGCTTGCATATATTTTCATCAGAATAGGGCACTCAGAAATGAAGATATAATGTTTACGCATATTAATTAGCTGCACAAAGCTAATTTGCATAATATGGAGGTATTTACTTCATATTGGGCTTGTAGACCCGTCATGATAGAGAAAGCCTACATACCAAATTTCATCACAATAGACCACTTAGAACTAAAGTTAGAGTTTACGCATATTAATGAGGTGGACTTAGTCGTTTTTGCACCATTTCCATGCAGTGTTTCCATTCTTCAAATTGGGAAAATGGGCACTTTTGACGGTCTGAGACTCAGCCATACAAAATTACATACATTCGGTTTTTGATGTAGTACATTTCCAGGTGGCCATTTTGCTAAATACTGTGTTTGAAATACTATTTGAAGTAATCTACTAGTACATATATTATTGAAAGTGCTGGTTAAAATTTTTAAAAAGATAGTGGATATTTTGCCAGAGGTAATGACGGCAAACTAACGATTACTAAAGGTTTGCCGGCGGCAATCCATATCAACAGAGGGCGCTGTACTCTTTAAAATAGGGCTGAATTATAAGATGTATTAAATTCCCACCAAAAGTTGAGTAGCACGTTTGGTGTAATGGTTTTAAAAGCAAAGGCTCTAGTAAGAGGGATGACTCGCGTTCGATTCCGACCGCACCACATTTTAAAGGTTTTTTTTCTCATCCCCAAATAAATAAGAATATTCTTCTTTTATTATTTTAACATGTCTCAAACATTTTTTGCAGAGTATTATATTTTCTTTTTCAGATTTGTGGCTCTGGAGGATTTTTTTTTAAAGGGAAATAAAGTACGAAATTATAAAATGGTCTGAATCCCATCTTGTGAATACGAGGTAACAACGATAATTTTGGCATGGAGCCAGACTAAAACTTGTCACCGGAAAATGGGTAATCCTTACTTTTAGGACCCCTTTCCTATATAAGGTTAAAAGACTCACCAAAACAGCTGACTAAATGGCACGCAAAAGTGACATTCTGATATTTCTTGACACATTTGAACATTTGGCAATGACACCTTCTTGAATATCAGCAGGTTTGATTTTGTAGAAAGAGGGCAGGGTTTTGATTTATGAGGGGTTAAAGACGATGATGACAAACAGAAAATACATTAAAAAAGCAAGATGGCTAACTGCAACAAAAGGTAGGAAAGTCACATTTTCTTTAAAGGGCTTTCAAAATTATAGCTAACATGAGTTTGTCTGAAGAAAAAAGACTTCTTTAGCCTGCAAAAGTCACTTTGGTACAGGACAGTCGTCTGCAAAAGACGGTTTTGAACAGTACTCGTACAAAATAGAGGTGTCCTAAAAGTAAGGATTACCGGAAAATGTTTAAGTACAAAAAAACAGTAACTGCGCATGTTCAGTGCATATCCGGCACACTAACGTTTACTAAAGGTTTGCCGTCTCCGGCAAAATATACACTGCCTTTTAAAAACTCCTTTTGGGGGCTTTTACAGGCCTATTCCATTTTTGGCAGGATTTCGCTAATTTCGGTGAACTTTAATTTACCATAACTCTGGAATGCATTGACCGATTTTCAAAAAACAAAACTAAGTATTCATCTTTCACATAGCTCTTTCAATTGGTACTGTCTGGTTACATATTGCACAATAAATACTGTTTTGTGTGCTATGCCTAGGACTAGGCCTGCTTAACTGCTTAAGTTACTTACCGCATTATGTGGTGAAACATAGACCAGTTCAGAAAAATGCTTTCCCTCGCTCACTAGGCCTTGGTATGTCTGACTCTGACTATATACCGGCGTCCAATGCCCTGCTAAAAACAATAAGCCTACTCCAACTTGTACGATTAGGGAATATCGTTTAAGCGTAGGCCTACTTCCAATTAATCCCATTTTGATCGTTGCCATTTTTAGGCTTTCGCCGGCCGCTTGTCAGTACACTATCAGTCTCCTGTACAAGTCTAGGGAAGTCCAACCTCGTCCCCAGTGCTTACTTTATTTCCAACCGCGTTAGAGCAGGTAGTGGTGGGCGCGTACTGCTCGACACCCTGGGGACGAGGTTGAGGAAAGTCGGGCTGGTCTCAACCTCGTCCCCAGGGTGTCGAGCAGTACGCGCCCACCACTACCTGCTCTAAACGCGGTTGGAAATAAAGTAAGCACTGGGGACGAGGTTGCGTGCGTGCATTTAGTTCGTCTTCTCACGCATGCGCAATGGTTTCCTCCGCATCGTCGGCTTGCTAACAGCGGTAACAGACGACGCACTGAACGATTGTCTGGTTTTCATGCCTTAAAATGTATCCTTCTCAAACGTACTTAAAAGATGATTCAAACCAAAAATTATCAGTAGACCAAGTGAACAAAGATATAAATTGTCTCTACAGTGTGGTAACGGCGCTAAAAACCTTTTCAAATATTTAAAAAAAAAAAAAAACAATAATTATATGGACAAAAAACGTACAAAATAAAAAGGAAAAACATCGTTCGCTTTTGAGTTTGGTTTACACATTTTGACAATTTGCCGGGTTTACCTTAGATCAGCCGTAGTACCATCGGAAAGGATGATAGATTATTTTCATTTTACAGGTGATTTGATGTAAGAAGGAAACCTGTAGCTTATAAAAATCGTCATTTTTCGAGTAAACCCATTTTGAAAGCTTCGTGCACAAATACACTGGTCCCAGTGCCCTATGTGATCGTATTAACTGCATTTCAGGGCCGGGAACCAGTCAGTTGTAAATCGTTTCAGTTAAATCATAAATGTATACATTTCCAACGCGTCGAAAGATTACAAACGGAGCGCCGTGGCGCGTGGCGCGTGGCTAGCCATGTTAACGGGATTCCAGGGTTTGTGTACAGGTACGTGCAGGCGCGGTTCTAGAACCAATATTTTTTTTGGGGGGGGGGGGGCTAGCAGGGTGGATCCAGAATTTTTTTCAGGGAGGCGTGCTGAAATGTAGACCGGTTATTTTTTCCAGACACTTTTGCCTCCGAAAATCAATAGGTGGGGGGGGGGGGGGGGGGGGGGGGGGGGGGGGGGGGGGGGCTCTCATGCCATATTTTTAATGGGGAGCGCCAATAAAATCCTAAAATCATTCACACTATATTAACTAATGCACCCTTTTTGTCATGACTATTTGTTTGGGGGGGGGAGACCGTTCGCATGTACATCACAATCCTTCTTTTTGCTAATGCAATTTTTTTTTTTTTTTTTACGGAATTTATTTTTGGGGGGGCTAGACAAAATTGGGGGGGGGGCTAAAGCCCCCCTAGCCCCCCCCCCCCCCCGTAGAACCGCGGTGCACACTAACGTTACATTCAAAGAAAAAAAATGTATAACGTGAGACCTTACTTTTCTCATTGAAACGGTTTCCGACTTAAATGATATTTATACATCGCACTTTCCGTGGCATCCTTTACCATTTTTCAGTGAAGACAAGTTTACAATTACTCGGCAAAACTGAAAAATTATCCCCTAAACTGTCGCCTGTTTTGAATTTGTGACCCAATATTTTCGTGCTACACGACACGGAATAACAAAAAAAAATGCATCAAATACTCTCTGTTTTTTTGCGCTAAGGTTTGCAAAAGTGACTTTGATTGCCTTAAATTCCTGTCCACGTGGAAAGAAAAATTTATCAAAGTACTTCGAGCGTGATGTTGACCGATACTTCAGTGGGTCAAACTGCGACTGCAGGCTAGGCATCCATGTTTACTGATATCAGCATTTCATATTTTGAGTGCGCATGCGCGCAAACTAAATGAGCGGCTGAAACATGCGTGATAAGCGTACTGCGCGGGCATTTCGAAGATTGGCCGGGCACGCCCATAATGCGCTCGCGCTCGCGTGCTTAGTTTTGCATGTAACGTCACGTACGAAAAAAAAAATTATGATTCAAAAGTCGCGATGCCTGTACGATATGGATTATGTCAGCCGCGTTTTTCGCTAAAAAAACCCCGCTGTATCTGTGGTTGTAAAGGCACGAAAGGGGTAAGTACATTCATAGCTCCATGGTACATTTAATACAAATCTTTGCTAATTAACACAACGTCCAAACGTTGTGTTTGAAAGGATTGATTCTTCAAAATCACAACTTTTAACATTTTAAAGATGGCGTCGGCACGTAAAACGGATAAACTGCAGCCCTAATTATAATGTACCGTATTTTGGCACATTTCAATTAGATAGTGGATATTTTGCTGGAGGTAATGACGGCAAACTAACGATTACTAAAGGTTTGCCGGCGGCAATCCATATCAACAGAGGGCGCTGTACTCTTTAAAATAGGGCTGAATTATAAGATGTATTAAATTCCCCCCAAAAGTTATGTAGCACGTTTGGTGTAATGGTTAAGCAAAGGCTCTACCAAGCGGCATGACTCGCGTTCGATTCCGACTGCACCACATTTTAAAGTTTTTTTTCTCATCCCCAAATAAATAAGAATATTCTTCTTTTATTATTTTAACATGTCTCAAACATTTTTTGCAGAGTATTACATTTTCTTTTTCAGATTTGTGGCTCTGGAGGATTTTTTTTAAAGGGAAATAAAGTCCGAAATTATAAAATGGTCTGCATCCCATCTTGTGAATACGAGGTAACAACGATAATTTTGGCATGGAGCCAGACTAAAACTTGTCACCGGAAAATGTTTAAGTACAAAAAAAACAGTAACTGCGCATGTTCAGTGCATATCCGGCACACTAACGTTTACTAAAGGTTTGCCGTCTCCGGCAAAATATACACTGCCTTTAAATTACACAATTCCAGTTGGGTTTACGATCGCGCAAGGCATGATGAGAAACAACATGGCGCTGCAAGTTCGTACCCACGGGGCACAAGGTTGCGCAAATATGACAAGCGGGTGGAGGGACTGGAAACTAGTCTAGTACTAAGTTAGCCGTCATTTATTGCGGGAGGGCGCACTTCACCCGCCTTGGTTTTGTGCATTGATCTCCATATATGGAGATCAATGGTTTTGTGCATAGACACATTTTCGAAACCTTTGCTTCGGCTTTGCTTAACTACGCGATGCTTGAATGTCATGCTTCGAGTTACGCGCATACTTCTTAACTCTATACGCACAGCATTTTGCTCACAGGCGCAATAGCAAATGTCGTGTCTCAGGTGTTATTATATGTCTATGGTATTGGTTTTGTGCATTTAAAGCTATAGTCCATCATTTGCAGCTATCCGAAAAGTAGCTGGCGTAATTATTGTTGAAAAACATACTTGGTTGAAAGATAGTAAGGGGACTAAACTCCCTGTAAAATTTTTCTTTCTGGCCAGCTGTAATTTTGAAGTAATCAACGAAAGAAGGCCTTTCCAACGGTGCTTCTTAAGACGCACCGTAGGAAAATTTAAATTAGTAGTTCGTTTTCCACGATTCGGCGAAGCGCGTGTGGCAGGGCCAAATTTATCTTGTATATTTTTCATGTATGAAGTGTATAGTATATAGGAGTAGCTCCCCTTTAGAACAAAAAGAAATCATTTTAGTTTTACTTAAGATTCCCCCCCCCCTTCTTGGTAGTGTGTTCCCCTGGTTGTTTACTTTAGCCCACATGTTCCCCCTATTTAAGCTGCCACATGGTCCAGCCACACTTTAGTTCAACCACCTAGCTCTATTCAGCAGACCAACAGAGACAACTTCATAGTATACCGGTATCTTATATAAATGTGTTCTCTTTTTATCATGTATAATAACTTTTAGAACTTTATTTCAGTTTTCTTTTGAAAGTTTGCTAGTTTTTTTATAGTTAAACTCAAAGTAAAAGTTGACTCTGGTCAGTTTGGATCTTGGGCACTTAGTTCCAGTTTTGAAGTTTATACCAGTTGAGTTTAGTGACTTGAAGAATTATAACTTAAAAGCCTTTTTGGGATGGATCACGTTGTTAGAGTTCTATTATTTTTTTAGGAAAATTGTGTTGCCAGACAGAAGTTTCATTCATTCATTTTGACTTAATTTCCTAGGAATGGCTAGGGTTTTCTTGTCTGATTTTACTTGAGTGGTAGATATATTTTGTTGCCTTTTTGAGTATTGGATTGGATTATTTGTTGGTTTTCGATACTTGCTTCATTTTCTTTCGAAATCTGTTTTTTTGGTAGAATGTATAGTTTTCCATTGACATCGTTTTTAAACCAAGAGGAGTGGTTTTCCCACAGACTTCTTACTGATTAGTTTGCCATGGTTATTCATTAGTTAGACTTGTCCAAGCTGTTCGTTTACTGTAGACCTGCATTTCCTTTATTTTGTATTTAGCCACCTGTTGCATTTAGTTATTCTTATCTGCTTTGGACCTTTGCAAGTTTACTGTTCAGGAATGCGAATTACCCTCTTAGTGATTAGTCCCACCTGGCATTCAGAAGACAAGGACCACTGTTTATCTTGCTCATTAGGTATTCACGAGAAATTTTAGTGTTCTTGGCAAGACTGTATAGTAGTTCCACATGGCATTGTTTATATTACTTTAAGACCAGTGGAGCTTGAGTTGTTTGCATTGTTTACTTGTTTCTTATTATATTCTTTACTCTCTTATCTTGTTAACAGATTTCTGCCAGAAGTGTCTTTAAGGTCCACTTTATACAACACTGTGTTGGTTTTTTGGGGGGTTCGAGTCTTTGGGTTTTTTGGTTTAAGTTTTGGTTTTTAGTCTTTACTCTTACTTGATTTTCGTGGTCTTGGTTTTATAATTATCTGGTCATTTTGAAAGTTCTTGTAAATAAATTCTTTTTGTCTTTTTTTGTTCGAAATCTAGAATTTGTGTCTCTTGTCTCTATTCATTCAATCTCCTCGCGACTTTTCCCTTCAAAGATCCTGAGTTTAGTTTAGTTTTGTTAGTTAATCCCCATAGAGTCTTAGTTTGTGCGAGTTCCCCCAAGTGTGTCATTTTTCCAGGTTACACGCGCGCAAGCATTGGCACGACGCACACGCACCCCCGGTTGCTATAATTCGTCAGATCAGTGCGCGACAT